CCCTCTGCAGTGTGATGAGTGTGAGTGTCCACTAGAGGGCGCTATGACACCAGAGGACACCTTCAGTCCACATCCAGTCAGGGGTCAGTTAGTTAGTCCTGATTCTGTCCACCCGTCCACAGCGAGCAGCTTCAGTTGATGCCCTGCAGCTGTTCACTGGATCCAGACCGTAATGAGCTGCAGGTATCAGGGCCGTCGTCAGGGGGGGAGAGTACACTCATAATCTTATTAAAGATTACTTCTGAACTTACGGGAAAAGTCATCATGTAGTCACAATATTATAAAAATGTAAGTCATGAAAGTCTAAACTTTACAACTTTATGACAAAAGTTACAGTATTTATTTAAAAACTGCTTTTAAAATAAAGTAATCTTGTAAAATTATTATAAATACTACATGAATAAAGTCACTTTAGTGAAGTGATTGAGTCAGAACTTTACAGTAAACTGTATGACACTGTTATTAAATGACTTTATAACTTTCTGGAAAAGAAAAACCTGAACTTTTCTTTGTGAAATAACAACATGATTATTGTAAAACTACCTGATTCATAAAGTAATTTAGGTGATTTTACAAGATTACTTCATTTTAAAGTAACTCATTTTCTCATTTAGGATTCAGTTACTTCACTAAAAGGTGTAACTTTATATACAGTAATTAAAATGATTTTATTTAACTTGCAGAACTCAAACAGGCTTTACTTCTTTGTTTGACTGCGTTGTTTCCAACATGAGTCAGTGGAATAAAACAGAAAGTACAAACAGGAGAGAAACCTCTGAGTCAGGCTCCATCTTCCACAATCAGTCCATCATTTAGGCTTCTTTCTTATCAGTGAACATCTTTTACTCTGAATGAACGGATGTATTAAACGGACCCGTCGTCCACATTCACCGTAAAGAATTTCCTCGTATATGTACAGAAAGTTGCTGTAATTGTAATTTACAATAAACTACTGTATGCTTTATTTAACAGTCTTACTACATGTTTTACTGTATTTTGGTCTATTTCTGCTGTATTTTATCATATTATTATTGTAACACATCCAGTTATATTAATATATATGACTGCTAATTATAATAATTACTACAAATTACTATTAATTATATGATGTATAATCTTCAGTTACTAATATTACTATACTAAAATATTCTGTAAAATATTCCCGCTCGATATAAATTACCCACAATGCCATATAAACTACATGTGATGAAGAGCTGTGGTTGTAGAGCAGGTTTTTACTGTTCGATGCAGCCGACTCGCAGTAAACATTATGTAATTTGATCTGAGAGCAGACGCAGAGAGAGACTGAGAGTGTGTGTTATCACTTCTTTTCTACAATTGCAGTGTTTCTATTTTTATCCCCCGGTTTGTGTTCTGGTTGCGTCAGTGATGCATGTGGGAGGCCGACCTGAAGGATAAAGCTGCCACCCACAAAGACGAGCTCATTCACAGTGTTTCAGTCTCACACTCAGAGAGCCGCAGCCCCCCCACCCCCCATATTGTCCACATGTGATTAAATAACCTCAGTCATTCACTTTAACACCTGGTGCTTGTTAAATAAACCTTCCAATGACACATTTAACAGGCTCTTTAATGAATTTAATTAAGGGATTTGAGTACTTGGACCAAGAAAGAGGTACAGAGGGATCCAACAGCTTCTGGGGGGGGTCCAGGATTTTTTGACAGGGGGGGGCACTGACTCAAACAGGGGTGGCAGGAAGTATGTGTCTCAGCTTCCCAGTTATTCTCAGTTTATGTAATTCAAACACAGTTCTTGGACCCAAGTATGCAGAAATATTCCATACACTAAAATAACACATTCATGGGATCAGCATAATGTCTGTAAAGAGATTTATATATTTATATTCAGATATCTTGAGGTCAGAGGTCAATAGATCAATGACACTTTGTGATACTAAATCATTTTGAAGAGAGTTTTGTCATTACATTAAGAGACTAAGTCTAAATATTTCAGTGTTTTTGAACCAACTAATCACAGAGGTTTACGTGCACGAAGGTGACTACGTAGCAGACTGATGGTGAAACTAAATCTGACCGGATACTGTTTTTATTTTAATAGTATTAAATACTTTTAAATAGATTTACTTCATTTGAAGGTCCAGTGTGAAACCTTGAGGACTGTATGAACATAATATGTATAGGTATGTTTCCATCAGTGTTTAATCACTTGAATATAGGAAGCGTTGTGTTTCTGTTTCATTAGAACAATCTGTTTTTATCTACAGGAGCCCAGAGGGGACAAACATTTTAGGGGGTGCTGCAGCCCCCCGAGCAGCCCGACTTCCAGCACCAACATAGCTTCAGAACCTGCTGATTAATTGATTAGGTGTATACATTGTTTTTAAATATTCCCAAAGCTCTTCATCGTCTCATATATTCAGTTTACTGTCAGAGAAACTAGAAAATATTCACATTTAAAACGCGACAAAAGATCCTCTTTCTGTCTGTTTCTGTCTGTTCAGGGCTGAAGTTCCCAATGCACTTGAAGCTGCAAAAAACGATTAAACATTGATTTTTCAATAAGCTTAATCGCATATTTAAATGAAAATCGTTTGGAGAAACTTTCT